TTTTGACATATTAAAAAATTTACAGAATTTCCAAGATTTTTAGAGTATTAACAGTTCTATCTTTGTGAACAAATTTTGTCTTCGCAAACCATCAGAGTCAATTAGAATTTTAAATATTAATAACTGTATATGGGAATATTTGTATTTTTATTCTAATTTTCCATTTGTAAATTAATGATTAATGATTTAAATTTCTTTGATTTCTCTTTAAGGTTCAAGAACCAGAAAGAGAGTCCAGAAGTAAATCACGTGCTGTGAACCAACTTCTCTTTTCTTCTTTTTCATTTGACTCTGTTCTTCCTTTCTATTTTAAGTGGTGTGTGTGTGTGTGTGTCTTGTGGGTGGGAGTAGTGAATACCTATGTCTTGTCTTTGAAAAATATAAGCTTTTTTTATTAAAATAAATACTTTGTACAATTTATTAAAGAGGAATTTATGAAATTCCAAAATCTTCAGGTTATATTCTCTAAGCTTTCCCAAGCTGTATGTGGTTGAGATTTTGGAGTACGTATAAGAAAAGTTACTATAACACATATTTTCTTATCATTGTGCATTTCCCAGAGTTTGACGAAGTCCTCATTTTTAAGGAAATGTAAAACTTAAAATAAAGGTCTCTTTTGTTTGATACAAATACATAATTTATTGTGGCCATAAGGTTTGGTTTGTACTGATTTTGTTCTGCTGTTTCACAAGCATTTATTAAGCACCTGCTATGTGAGGCAGAAGGTACAAATAATGGGAAGGAATGTAAAAGAAAAAGTGGAGTAAATGTATCTGTGAGAGAAAATGTACACAGTTGAAAGTTAGATTACATAAGAATTAGATAAGTAGGCAAGCTATATGACAAAAAAACAGGTGATAAATTGTCAAGTGGTGGCATGATCAAAGCAAATTTCATTTTTGTGCATGTAATAGGCACTTTAGAGTTTTAGTGATTAGCAATTTTAAGATGTGGAATATATTTAGTTGCTTTTGGAACAAAAGCTTGGAATTTTAACATATTTATGAACAATTTTAAGATGCATTCCACAAAATTTACTTTTTTAAAGTAATTGAGATTAAACTATATTTTCTTTTCTTTCTTTTTTTTTTTTTTTTAAAGACCGGTAAGGGGATCTCAACCCTTGGCTTGGTGTTGTCAGCACCACGCTCAGCCAGTGAGCAAACCGGCCATCCCTATATAGGATCCGAACCCGTGGCCTTGGTGTTATCAGCACCGCACTCTACCGAGTGAGCCACAGGCCGGCCTTAAACTATATTTTCTAATGTGTGGTATACCTTACCACTTGAGCATGTATGTTTTTAGGCAGTGTATTGGATACAGTTTTATTTAAACATTTAACTCTTTTAATATGTATTCAAAATGTAACTAGCCCATTAAACTGGCAATTTTTCTACTCCTTAGGACAAGCCTAAAATAGGTATTTCAGTTTTTAAAAAGCAAGTTGATTTGAAGACAATATTAAGTAAATAATTGTACATGTAGGATGTGGACATACCAAAAATTGTCAAGGTTGTACCAAGTTTGAGAAACTCTGAACCAACACAAAGACAGTAACTTTTGGTTCTCTGATACAGATATTTAGTTGTTTTGTGGATCATTTCATTGTAATGGTCAGATATTGTAAAATGCAAAACATATCTCCAGACTTTCCTTTGAAGGTTAATCTTTTAATGCCTGCTGAAGTTCTGGTCCTCTCTGTGTCTTTTTACAGAATAGAGAATTAGATTTGGGGCAGAGACAACTCCTGCTTTCTGTAGAATGCTGGATTTTAAGACTAAAAATGAAACGTTGTGGTCCCAAGTTTATTGTTACAACACCTAAATCAACTCTCAGGTTCTGTTTTAAACACATTGATGCTTAACTTAGGATAAAATATGTGATGTGTTTTTGTGTATATGCCTTAGCCGTTTTTATCTTTCAAAACAGAAAAACATAGCAAAACCTGTTTGTTAAATATTAAGAGAACAAATATTTTCTCACATATTGTTTTAAGCAAGTGCTGGCATTTTCTTGAATGTTGCTATATTGGCAGGGCTACAGAAGTTAATGAAAAACTACTAGCCATCATAGCCAGTTTGATTCATCAGCTACATTCCTTACTCTGCTGTTCTTTTATCCCCTACCTTGTACTGTTTTTTCCTACTTCCTTTATTTTTAAGAAATGGTTAAGTAACCTCCTTGTCATTCAGAATTACGCTTTTATTTTTATTGCCCTTTTCAGTTCTATATTATTTTTATCTTGCATTGTTTTTATTTTCTTTCCAGTCCCTGAATGGAGTGGATTTGCCATTCTTTGTTCTCCCTTCTCAATCCAGCTCCCATATTCTAACATGTATTCTTACACCATTTTGTCCTGCTTTCTCTGCCATTTACTTAGTCCTTAGTGAGATGAGTGTTTCTAGTCTGTTGAGGATCAAAACCTGAGCCAGGCTCTTGTCTTTCACACAGCAGGATTTATATGTGCTGTCCATTTTCTAGAAAGCAACTGATGAATCTTTGGTAACCAGCTAAGCCCTGAATTAAAATAGCTTCTAGGTGTTCTTCAGTAGTGACCAAACAAGGAAAATACTGATAGACGGGAGTTATAAAACCCTGATTATTTCTTTGAATTACTAAATTGTGCGTATAGAGACCCAAGTTGCGTAACAATAAATTGGTGGTGGAAATATAAATAATTAGTATATATTCGTGTGTATCTGTGTATATACAGTTCAGCATTATATGGTTGTTTATTCTTTAAAATTCTATTTTTATGCTCTATATTTTTTATCAAGATGTGTTAGTAGTATAGTCATTGTAGAAAATTTAGAACATACAAAAAGTGTCAAAAGTCAAACCAGCCATAATACTATCACCCGCAGGCAACCACTGTTAATATTTTCACACATTTTCTTCCAGTCTTTTAAATGCATTTTTTGTCTTTATACCTTGCATAAAACTTTATATCCTGCTTTTTGAAGCTAATATTAAATATTTTTTGTTATTATAGATACTTTCTGAATATAACTTCAATATTTCCATAATATTTTTTCTTATGGATTTATATTTTCATCACTATTTCCCTAATATTGAACACTGAATTGTTTTCAGTATTTGGATATTATAAACAATGTTCTTGAACACAATAGGGCAGAAATCTTTGTTGACATATATAAATATTTCCTCAAATTTTCAAAAGGATACCACTGGGTCAAGGACTATGAAATGAAAGGTTATTGATGCATATTATCAAATTGCTTTGCAAAAGTCTACCAGTTAACACTTTGACCAGTAAATCAGAGTGTCCAATTTTGTCATCCTTGCTATGGACGGAATATTTGTGTCCCCTTCAAATTCATATGTTGAAACCTAATCCCCAATGTGATGGTATGTGGAGGTGGGATCTTTGGGAGGTAATTAGGTCAGGAGGATGGAGCCCACTTGAATGGTATTTATGCCTTTATGAGAAGAGACAGAGAAAAATGATCTCTCTTTTTGCCATGTGACAGTCTGCAAACCAGGAAGAGGGCCCTTACCAGGAAAAGAATCTGTTGGTACTTTGATCTTGGACTTTCTAGCCTCCTGAACTGTGAGAAATAAATGTTTGTTGTTTAAGCCACCTAGTCCATGGCGTTTTTGTTGTAGCAGCCCCAAATAATGAAGACATTAAGTATTATTTTTGTAACTTGATTAGGTAAATAGGTTTTGATTGCTAGTGACCCTAACAGTGTTTTATATGTGAACAAGCTGTATTAGTCTGTTTTGTGTTTCTTATAGCAATACACAGAACTGGATGATTTAAAAAGAAAATGAAATTTATTGCTTACGATTTCTGAGACTGGGAAGTCCAAAGCCCATCTGCTGGTTGTGACAATGACTAAGGGGTCTCACATTGCAAGATGGTGGAAGCAGAGAGAGAAAAAGACAGACTCTCCTCTTTTTTTAAAGCCCTCAGAACCACACCCCTGACCACCATTTTTAATCCATTCACTACTGTATGGTCCTACAATCACCTCTTCAAGGCTCCACCTTTCACTTATCATAATAGGATTTCCCACCCTCTTAAGAAGTCACAGTGGGGGGCTAAGTTCCTCATACATAAAACTTAGGGGACACAATTCCAGTTTCAGGGAGATTTGGGGGGACAATATTCAATCCACTACACAAGCCGTTCTAGTTTCTCTTTGGTATATCTGTGTGTACTATTCATGCAGTGATTGCCTTCATCCTTTTTTATATTTGCTGCTCACTTTTTTCCTGTTGATTTCTGGTTGGTGACATATTTTTAATTTTTATGGCTTTAATCTTCCACTGTTAAAAAATTTTTTTTTTTACCCTGAAATCAGAAATATTTACCATGGGTTTTTCTTGGCTTTTTGTTTTAAAGCTTCTAAATTTTCAGTCCATATGGAATTTATTTCAGTGTATGTATGCCATGAGGTAAGGATCACAATGGATTTTTTTTTTTCTCCCCAAACAGCTTACCAGTAGCTCCAGTACCACGGTTTGTGATGACTGCTTTATTGCATATTAAGTTCTTATACCAGGATCTGTTTCTGGACTGTTTGATTTCATTGATTTGTCTGTCTGTTCTTATGCCAGCAGGGTACTGATTTAATTAATGCCACTTTACTTATCAATTCTTATTTATTGCCCAAACCACATGAACAGAAATCAAAATTTTTAAAAAAAGAACATATGATCCTGCTGCCACTACAAATATCAAACTTGTCCTTTGGCTATGTTATTTTTAGTCCTGATTTATCTTTTATTTTTTCATAGTTATAACAGTTGCATAGATAAGATTTTGTAGTTCTTGTCCCACAGGTTACTCTCATTCTCATCTATTAAGCTGTACTGATGCATAGAGTACAAGACACACTAAAGAATTAATATTGCAAAAGGATCTTTATATAAATATAGCTTCATACACAATATTAGTAATTCTATATAGTATACCACTGACCAGATGTTTTACACAACTCTCCATCACTGTGTCTTATGGTACAAGTAAAATGCTTACTGTTTCCACTGTACTAAGGACGTGGTTACACATATAACAGTTGAGTTTTATTATGGCAGTAGCATTTTGCAATTTCTGAATAGCATTTCTGGATTTTTGTAGTTTGGCTTGTCCTGAAGTTACCTTTAAGACTTCTGCATTGAGGAGATTCAGTTTTATTTATGAACCACTGCAAATCATCTTAGAAAAAAACTCTTTCCTCTTTTTAAGTCCAATGTTTGTTAGAACATTGTTCTCAAATATCAGAAGTATAATTGGAGATGATCTATAAGATAATAAGATAAAGTGCCTGGGATGCAGAAGTGGGAAGGAGTTTAAGGAGTGAATCCAGACTATGGAGGGGAAAGGAGGTGGAACAGTAGTCTGAAATCTGTTTCTGTTTTTCTGTAGGTTGCCTTTCTGCGTCTGGTATCTTTTAGAAGCAAATGCAAAGTGGTCACATATAAAATGAATACATTACAGCACCTGGACAACAGTTTCTTTAAAAATGAAAAATTGCTATATTTAATATTCTCTCTGACCTTGATGCAAAAATCATAGTACAGAAATTCATGGTGGTCCTTGGTATAATCCTCAGATGTGAGAGAGGCCCCTACACACTTTCTCAAACTTTCCCCATAAGGGGTCAA